TTTAACTTAACCTCATTGCTATCACATAGAGGAGCTTACAAGCAAGTTGTCCAGCTGCTAGCTTGGAGAAAGGAGGACAGAAACGCTTGGAGCACAGAGGAAGAAAGAAAAAAAAAAAAAAAAAAAAAAAAAACAAAGTCAATCAACAGTGCTAGGGGTGTGGTCTATTTGTTGCTGGTGCTTTAGGCCCCATTCACACCAGATGCGTTGGCATGCATTTTCAATGGATGCCAGCGCAGGAACATCTAAAAATAAATGGGTGTGAATAGTAACAGTTCACAGCGGTGCGCGTTAAATTGCATTGCAATGATCTCCACTGAAAAAAATAGAACAGGCTCTACATTTTTTCAGCTCAATGCAATGCAACGGACTTGTGTGAACTGCTAATGCATGTCAATAGCAAGGCAGAACCAATACCTTGTATAGCTTAGTGTAAAAATCAAACCAAAATATAAGAACAACCCATCCCAAAAAATGCAACATAACGCAACAGATGTCATCGCACTATGCCAACTCAAGTCAACATACCACCATTAACTTGCGTTTTTGGCTCCGATTGTGAATGTGCCCTAAGGCACCAGATTTTCTGTGCCAATAGGCTGCCAAGATGTAAATCCATCCAGGGGCGTAACTAGAAATCACAGGGCCCCGTAGCAAACTTTTGTATGGGACCCTGAGATTTCTAGTTACGCCCCTTGCAGAGCCCATCTGAGATCCCAAACAGCCCTCCTGAGAGTGACCCTGCAGAGCCCACCATAGACTCTCTATGGTGGGCTAGTCACACCCCTGCACACCTCTTATCTGTCAGCCCCCATCCGCTGTCAGCCTCCTCCACGGTCGCCGGTGGGCCTCGCCTCTTTCCGCTGTTGATGCCGGGCTCCGCCTCCTCTGCTGTCGCCGCCGGGCCCAGCCTCCTCCTCAGCAGCTGCTGGCTGTCACTGACTCTGCAGCGGCTATAAGAAGGGATGCGCCGCTGCACAGATCACTGACAGGTTGTCACTGATCTGAACAGCGGTGCGTTCCTCCTGACAGCTGCCAGTGATAGCCAGCAGCCTGCGATCTCATAGCGACCCGGGCGGCCCGCATGGCATCAGGGGGACCCCTTTGCTGCTCATCCTGGCCGGGCCCCCCTGTGTATTATTTCAAGGGTTCTTCTGGGGTAAAAGGGAAAGGTGGTTGTAGGGCATGGATAAGGCACAGCAGAGTAGACTGTGTTCTCTGGGTCATTTTGATTGGATTGTACTTTGGCCTAGCAGAAAGCTTACAGCACACAACAGGTTGAAAATTTGGTACCGTCTGTACAGTCCAATGACTTTCTCATATACATAGCTATCTCTTTCCTAGCCTCTGACCTCTTAAATTTTTTTCCATTGTTAGAAACTGAAGCATACTTCCAGTTTGCAGGTCTGTACCAGTTAATAATTGACTTGTATAAAAGCTAATCAATAACTACAATTCTTTAGAATATGTCTATCTATACAATTTTATTGGTATTCCGGTGACTTTTGAAGGCACGTCTTATCTAGCAGCACAGATGAGAAATAACGCTTGTTACAATATGGGGAAGAGCTGTTTGTGATCTGATCAGCTTCGGTTTCATCTTGATAAAGGTTTCACAAACTCTAGAAATAGTCTTGGCACGCATATCTCCCACTACATCTAAAAAGCAGTTTTTGTGGGTGATTCAGTTCTAGCAGAAAGTAAAAATGAACATATATAAGACCAAGCAAAATGCCAGAGAGGATTGGTGACTATGCACTGCAGATATCTCAACTGAGGTCATTTATTTAATTTATTACAGGTATTTATAAAGCGCCAACAATTTGCACAGCTCTTAACATACCGCACGTTCACATCAGTCCCTGCCCTCAAGGAGCTTACAATTTAGGGTGACCATTCGTCCCGAATTTCCAGGGACAGTCCCCAGATTGAGGAGACTGTCTCTGGACAAATTATGTCCCTGGGAACATTAAATAATAAAAAAAAAATGTTATACTCCCCAGATCCCTGAATCCATCGACGAGCGCAGCCTCATCTCTCACGCTGTCAGAAGCTGCATACATCGTGTGCCAGTTACTATTTAAACCGGCGCGCACTGTATGCAGCTTCTGAGAAGATACGCTATTAGCGTAGCAGGAAAGCCGGCTGCGCATTTTGCATAGCCCGCGCTACACTTAAACCCCATTCACACTAGAATCGGCCGGCACGTACAGCTCCATGTTGCATGCACAGCCTTATCGGGCAGCTCCCGAGAAGGACAGGTGCTGCGCATTAGTACGCTATCCTTCTCTATGGGAGTACACGCCCGTACGCCGCCCTACGCTCACCCGCCCTGCAAGTCCGATAGGATGGATCCTGTCTGCGGACCTGCACTTGAGGTGAGCGTAGGGGAAGGTATGGCCTCGTAGTCCCATAGAGGACAGGGGCTGCGTACTAATCACACGCAGCACCTGTCCTTCCCGGGAGCTGCCCGGTACGGCCGTGCATGGAGCACGGAGCTGTACGTGCCGGCAGATTCAAGTGTGAATTGGGCCTAATAGCAAGTCTTCTCAGAAGCTGCATACAGCGCGCACCGGTTCAAATAGTAACCGGCACATGCTGTATGCAGCTTCTGACAACGTGAGAGACCGGAGGCTGCGCCCGTCGATGGATCCACCTGGATTTCATTTGACAAATCTGGTCACCTTATTATAATTTAAGGTGGATGTACCATATGCTGTATAAGTGTTTATTTGCAAAGAAAGATGTCATGTAAACAGCAAAATAATAAAGCATCAGTATAAAATAAATATATTAATAAAAAACCCCCAAAAACAATGACCCCAAATCCATTCTCGTTTCCCTTTTACAGCTTCTTGCATAGAAAATAAGGAGCCATTCTGTGTCCTCGCCACTAACTAGTTCCTCCCTTGCAAGATCGCTCTGCCTGACAGAGCTCTGTTGTTTGCCAATAAACTGATAACATTGTGCATTGTGGGGAAGGGGAAGTATTGTTTTTTGTCATTGTTTTATTTCATCTTATTTTATTATTCTATTAATTAACACTCTATCACCTTGTACTTCCTCATGTCTCAATGTTATGAATAAGTGAAAACATGAATCGCAGTGGAGCATGTTTATCAATAGTGTAACAGTTGTTGCGCTGCATTTTTGGCACAGAGGATTCTTTTATGAAGATTAAAGTTGTTGGGTTGTTTTTTTTTGCTAAAGCATTTGCATTTTTTTTTTTTAACATTTTCTTTTATACTTATGCAAACACTTGTTTTCACCTTTTTTATCTGTTGTCGCATCTTAGTGCTGCTGATCTTCTCCGGCCTCTTTTAACCACTTACTGTCTACATGCACTCCAGCGATAGCTGCATGGCATTTCTCAGGAAGGGTTTCCCGATGGTGACAACAGTGGACCATGCCTGTGTAATGTGTGTAAAAACGGTCACTTTTATTCACCATCCGAAGGCTTCCGTCACAGTGGTTGATGCCTGTGCAATGTGTGTCAGCACAGCTGCTTGTAGTCTTAGCCGGGGGTGTTATGCGTCAGAGTGACAATGCAGGAGCACACTAGGGAGACAGTTGTCACTCCATAACAGGAAGTGCCTGAACAAGGACCTTCATGGCAGAATCACCAGGCATGAATGCTGCTGCTGCAAAAAAAAAAAAAGGATTGAAAAAAAGGATTTGAAAGCATTTGTAATTATAATGATTGGGTTTAGATCTTCATTAAGGAAAATGTATTGAAGGAAAAAAAACAACATTATTTCTTATTAATTATTGTTCACCAGCAGCACATGCACATCACAGAAGCATAACAATAAATACCCAGTACTAAGTAAGTTCCCTCTTCCTCCCACATGACAACACTGGTGATGGGTGCAGTTGCGTCACAAGGGGGCTGCGGGGGGTGCCACCACTCACAGTCATTTTGGTGTCACCCCCCTATGAAAAGTCGGGCACTCGGTCATGGACTGAAAGCCCAACAGTGTCAGGAGAGAGGAGGGGACCTGGCAGCATACCTCATCCCGCCGGGTGAACGTCCCCTCTCCTCTCTGCCGGCATCCATCACCAAGATGGCCCCCGGCAGGCATCAATAAGATGCACGCGGCGACATCACGGGCATGCGCGATGATGTCACGGCGGGGTGTCGCCCCTTCTCCGCTCCGGGTGACACCCGGCCTCGGGAAGCCCCTGGATGGGTGATTGGTGGCTCAACCACCCAATGCTGTCACATTGGGTTGAGGAAAGGGTCCTCAGCCCTCTGTAAGCTCTAGTCCCAAATTAGAGTTTACACAGGCATACGACAGAAAGTGGGTTACTGGCAGTAGGGATGAGCTTAGGTCTGGACTGAACTCGGTCTGAACCTGAGCTCCTCCGACCAAGAAAGAGCCATGTTGACCCAATCACATGCAGTCCGGACATTCCCCGCCCCACAATAGCATGTCATGTACCATATATGGCCACATTAGGTAAATGTAATTTACCAAATATAGGCATGTAGCCATATAAGGTCAACAAAATTGCTGCATCCCGCCCCTATGCTTTTGTCAAGCTGCAGGCTGGGAATTCCAGAAGCGGATTGGGTGGCATGGAAGGAGCCTCCTTCCAGGGTCTGAAGAGCTTAGGTTTGGACCAGGTTCAGTCCGAACATGAGCTCATCACTAACTGGCAGAATCAACAGTTAAAAATATAGGGGAAAATGCCAGAAAAAAACATACAGCCTCCACATCTGTGGACTAGTAATTTGCTATATATACTTTTTTTTTTTGTTATATGATTTAGATCCCAAATTGCCCCCCAGAAAAAAAAAAATTCCCTCCAATTTGCATCAAAAAATAAAGTGTTCTGTAATCGTTCTATTTACTATCATACACTACTGTAATCCATCCTATGGAAGTGTACCCGAAAATGATTTTAGAATGTGGGCACCCGTAGCATAAATTATTCTAATAAAAACATTTTTCTTCTCCCCCAGCGGTTTTGGCATCATCCTCCTCACTGCTGCCTTATCACACCACCCTCGGCAGGACAAGCTACGCCGGTTTTATCACCCTGCTGCCCGCATGACCGGGAGTACGACCCTTCTGCCGTACTTTGCGGTGCACCTCAACAAGATGGGCTCCTTCCGGCGTCCCAGGCCACGGTTCATGAGCTCCCCGGCCCTCAGCGACTTGTCGCGATTCTACGCCAGCCGCCAGGTCCTGCAGCTCAACTCCAGCGTCCTGTGGAACAGGTAAAGCATTTCAGACATGTATATTTCATCTTGGGGTAAAAAAAAAAAGGTGTATATAGTCAGGGGTGAGTCAAATGCTTTGTTCAAAATGTCAGGAATACAACAACAAAAAAGGGTCTTTTAAAATTGCTATTTTTTAATACATTTCATAAAATAATCTGCGCACAGGGTGGAGTTCCAAAGGTAACTAAGCAAAGGTAATGCAGATTTGATAAAAGAGGTCAGCCATTGTTTTCTTTATTTAGAGGGTGTGATTTATTTTATTTATTTATTTGCGGGAGCAAAAGTTCACAGCTTGCCCCTGTTGGATGTCCCATATCGTTTGTTCAGTGCACAGTAGTCCTTCCTTCAAAATAAAAATATTTCCAGCACACAAAATCCTCCAATGGATTCCTCATTGTATGTCCGTAAAATCAGTACACGGCCACTGACGCCTTTCTGCCTATGTGACCTTAGTCATAGCTAAGGCCATACAGCCTCCCCGGGGCTCCGGCAGCCTAAGGATCGCTGACGTCATCACATTTAATGAAGGTCCATTGACTTGCATTAGACTTGATGGCGTCGAGAGCCACAGCCAGAGCGGAGAGAGAAAGAGGTGAACGCTGACCAAGGGCACATGAGCACATTATGCACACATTAATGCACGTGAGAATGGGACCTACATAGATCCTTATAGGTATCCCACCACACCCCTGACCGTTGTATCCCTTATGATCTCCAGCTGGCTAGGGCCATACAGCCTTCCCTGGACTCCAGCGGTCAAGGATCGCTGACGTCATCATGTCTAATGAAGGTCCATTGACTTGAGTTATACTTGAGGACGTTGAGAGCCATTCCACAGTCGGATCGGAGAGGGAAAGAGGTGAACGTGCGCACATTATGCGCACATTAATGCACATGAGAATGGGACCTAAATTGCTCCTTATAGTTATCCCACCACACTCCTGACCGGTGTATCCCTTATGATCTCCATAATGTTTGCTGCATTGACCTGCGGATGGTGCCATATTGATACAGAAGAAGTAAAGTATAACCAGCACACCAATATCCTCATTGATGAATCTTTATTGACATCAAATAATCATGATATGACAGACGATGGATATTGGTGTGCTGGTGACTCATTACTTCTTCTGGGCCCTACGTGGGACTGGCTGCGTCAGAAAAAAACAGGTCAAACCCAAGCTTTAAAATGTCATCTACACTGCTCTATTGAAGGTCATGGGAATCTGCTGATCTGCGTTTGACCTCCTGTCTCTGACGCACATCAAATGCAGGAAAACAATGCTCATGTACACAAGTCTTTATTGCTCATAAAAAATACCCTCATAAAACTATGGAACATCTAGGCTCCTCTAATGACCCCAAAAAAGAATGTTCTGTGTGGTTCTCTTTTGTACTAGGAAGAGTGTTCTTCTCTACTGGAAAGAACCTTCTTTTCCATCAGGTGCTCAGGTTGTCAGAATTATTAATGACAAGCTCTTCAAACTTAAGATTCTATATAACAGCAGAGCTTGTCTTCAAAAATTCACCAACCTCCAACAAGTATGACTAAATAATTTAAAGGGTCCTCAGACACTGACCCCCTCTCTTGTCAGGACTTGACACTTGAATGGTCATCTGGTTTCATGGGATCCTTTGCCAAGACCACAGGTTCCCTACAAGGGATCTCCCTGAAGTTTATTGGACAGGACAAAGGTTGTACAGAAAATGCACAGGTTCACTCAGGCTGTTTCTCAATTCCTCTTCCTGTTCCGTCTCTTGGCCGGGCTTTCCTTTCTCAATGTCCTTGTTGTCACCAATAGGATTGCTGGCCTGGCAGGGGAAAAATGGGACTTGATGCCAATGGTGGTGAGAGGATACAGACACTAAGGGTGCCTTAATATGATGTATTGAGTTAATGTAGAACTAACTTTTTAGTTTTGGTGGGTTATAACTAGGGCTCACTGCATTCTGCCCCTTTGTTTATAGCAAGCCGTGGGCAGGGAATTCCCACCAGTAGCTGATTGGGTGGTACGGAAGTTTGGAAAGGGCTCCTGTTGGGTTTGGAAGAGAGAGACCAGGATCAGGTTTGGTGTGAACTTGAGCTCTTCCAAACCCAGAAAGAGCTGCTGCCAAACATGAAAGAAAGCTCCTTCCATGCCACCCAATCAGCTGCTGGCCAGGAATTCCCCAACCCACAGTTTGACGTAGGGGTGCAATCCAATGACGTCATTGACCTTATATGGCTACATGCCTATATATGGTAAATCGCATTTACCTAATATAGCTGTGGCCATATATGGTAAATTACGTCAGCACAAGAATTCCTCCCCTTCATTTAAAAGCAGCTGTTGGGCAGGGAAAGCCCTTTACAACTGTTTGGGTGGAAGTGCCCATGGCACTTCCTTGGTCAGAGGAGCTGAGGTTTGGACTGGCTTCAGTCCGAACCTGATCTCGGCCCTAGCCTGAGAGCCCGACAGCTGCACGAGAGAGGAGGGGACCCGGCGGCATCCCTTCATTTCTATGCTGGCGTCTATCGCTGAGATGGCCACTGGCAGTAGAGTGGGTGTGACATCATTAAGCACATGTGCGATAACGTCATACACTTGCGCAATGATGTCATGCACATGCGTGATGACGTCTCCGCAGGTGACACCCGGCCTGGGGATGCCTCTGCCCCGTTGGTTTATTTTTGCCATCTGCAATGGAGAGATCACTTCACTTTCTGTCCAACAGCCACAACAGGAAGTGAGAGGAAATCCTTTCAAAGTGATGGATATCCCTCCTAAGTGAGGGAAGTTCCTGGTGGTCAGCAAGGTCACCGGAACAAGGGTCCCCATTGGAAGATTTCCTATATATACCAACGCAAGAAGCTCAGCATGACATCCAGGTAACCAGCTAAAAAATTGCAGCTCGTGTGAATTTTTAAAATTTTTTTCATTAAAGGTTTCCTATAAACTGGCCGCAGTCTGATGAAAGTCTCCTTGCATAATGTATTACGCGTATTGCTGTTTAGGGGCAGATGTGACATACTAAATTACTAGTGGTTTCCTTTCTCAGCGTGCAGAGCGCCGTCATCAACGTGTTCAAAGGAGGGGGCCTGCAAGCCAACGAACTCTACACCCTGAACGAGAACGTCAGGTACGCTATGGCGGGGTGCAGCTGTGACTGGGGTCAGGCTGGGGAATGCGGCTGCTGCTTCACACTTACACATCAGGTTTTGTTCTCACACTTTTGTGACTCTCACTTTCCTGATACTATTCATTCAGGGACCCATAACAGCCACTCCCTGGTCATGTGGCTGACGGA